CCCTCATATATATATATATATATATATATATAATATTTTGCAAAAAGAAATTTAATTCACTAATTTATGACACATATGTCTCGCACGCGTGTCATTTTTTTATTTTATTATTATGTAAATAAGACACGTCAAGAATGTCTCTGACATGTGCTTGAAACATATCGGATAAGCGTCAACGTTTGAGAAGTGTCTGACACTACACGACTTCTTAGTTAGGAGTATCCGTGTCATAGACGACCAGCACAAAATTTTGTTTTGCTTTTACAATTAACAGTAATAAGTGGACATGGACACTATGTGTTTTTTTTTTGTCATCCTTAATATTTATTTTGAGACATTTATATTTATCCCACATATTTTTTTAATATATATTTAAATATCTAATTTTTTAATTTTTTATATTTGCATGCATCACATGCAAATATCCAATTTGAGGTAAGAAAATATCACTATCACATATTTTTAATGTATTTAAGATTTATTAGAATTAGGTGAATTTCAACATACCATTTTTTATGAAAGTGTTTGTATTAATGTGTGCAAATAATTGAATTTCAGTATAAGATATGCAAATTATTATATTTTCAATGCAATGTATATAAATAAAAAAAAAGGAGATTGACATACCTAACACATAGTTCTTATTTATCTACATATCTCACAATTAAATTTTGATATTTACATATTTAGTTTTTCTTTTGATTTAATTTTTATGAGTGAAGATGTATTTTAAAAAAATTGATATTAATATTATTTTTATGTGGCATTAAAGATTTGAGTATTAAATAGGTAAATATGAAAATTTAGGCGCGAGACATTGTTAATACTAGGGCTATCAATATGGCTCGTTGTTTGTGAACAGCTCGTGCTTGACACGTTTTGGCTCGAAATACTAATATATATATATTTGATTAGTGTTTTTAAAAAGTTAATTGAGTACAAGGCTACAAAGATTTATAATCAATTAAAAATATTAATTAAGAAAATAAAAAAAAAATTATTAAATTAGATTCATGATATTTTAATATAAATAATAATTTTTAAATCTTACCCCAATCCTTAACATCTTATGGCTACGTGATTAGAGTTGTCAAAATGACTTTTTGTTCGTGAACGACTCGTGTTCAAATCGTTAAGCAAATAAGCTGAACACAAACGCTCTTATTGAGCTCGAAATATAAACGAGTCTAACAGGAGCCTCGTTTACACCCCTAGTTAATGCATAAGAATTGTATACTTTTTATGTTAAAATACCACTCCCCTAACTCACACGCACAGCCATCGAAGGGAGCTTGCTGTGACTGCTCTGAAGTGAAACTAAGCTCAGCCAGGAGAGACGCCATGGCGATTGCCGGAGACCTGAGGGTTTTCGCCGCATTAAACACCCTTCCTAAGAGCCCTTCTAGTCCAACCTTCGTTTTTTCTTCTCCGACTTCGTTCTCCACGAAGGTCCTCTCTCTCTCTGTCTTTTATCTTTAGTTGATTATTTCTGGAAGAAATGCGCTCGAAGGGCTGAAATCACATGTTTTTCACCTGCAAATTAATTTTAACTGGTGATGCACCGATGCATTTGGCTTTAGCTTAGTGTTTCTATGAATCTGCTATTGATTTTCATGCTTATCGATTGTGTTGTTACATCCGCTTAAATCTTCTTGAGGAACGGCGCAGATTGGAATTGTGGATAAATATTCTACCTCCGATGATTCAGTTCTAACATAGTTATAGAGAATTGTGGCATGAGAAAATTTGTAGGATATAATGGTGGAGTATTAGGGCATAAATTGAAGAGGTTATTTTTGTTATTGCTACATTTTTTGGGTTTATTTTATCTTTTTAGTTCAAAATCAAAGAAGTTTTATGCGCATTGTTGGAAGGATAAAATAAGAGTGTCAGTGAGTAGATGAAGGTTACAAGGGGGTTAGGTTAAGTGCAGTGGCCGATAGGTGGAAGATTGAGGGTTTTACTTTCGAAATTAAAGAAATGAGAAGGGCTTAGGTTTGTTCTATTAGAGTCTTGGCTGATAGCTCCTTATGGAAATTAGGGTTTAGGGTGCTGAGGAGGATTTATTTAGGGTTTGTGGAAAAGATGGAGATGGCTTGAGGCTATTTAGGGTTGAAAACCAAGAGCACGAGATTTAGGATATTGATGTGGGGACTGAAAACTATGGTTTTTTATGCTTTAAGGGATTGTGGTACCCTGGACACAATGCTGGGAATGGAGGCTAGAATTAGGGTTTGAAAGAGTGGAAGGAGACAACAATTTCTTGCCAAAGGAACTATGTAGGTTCGGTCACCGAGCAATCCGAAAGCATCTAAAGGGGAGAAAATCTAACCCAAATTGTCCAAATTAGAATTCCTTTAAGAAAGATTTACATACATACCACTCAATTCTTGTGTATTTTCATATGTAACACCTAAACTTCAATTTTTACATAACACGCCACCTCACCTATGCATGAACGTATTTCACTTTTTAAAAGTTAAAATTGTGATGCTTTTTATGTGACGCGAGAAATGTGGGTGGTATAAATGTAAAAAGCAAAGTTTAGGTATTAGATATGTATATACATAAGAATTTGGTTATGTAAATGCCCACAAAAACAAAAGAAATCGAAGGATGGGAGTTGTCGAACTAAACATGGAGGGGATAGATTACAACAATTCTCTAAATCAAGGAGATGCAATCTTCCCGCTTTGATTTGAGGGAGGCCTTAAGTTGTGGATTTTGAATCTTAAATTAAAACGATGAGGCAGCCAAGGTTGAATTCCAACCACGAGACTTGACCAAAGCAAGCCAACCACCTAGTCATTTCAAAAAGACACAGAATTAAATAATTACAAGGCTCGTGCAAGTCTGTGAAACTTGGTTTGTAATCTTATAACTGGCCAATGTACCATTTGATATTGTTTGGCATCACCTTTAAGGTGCGTAGCTTTTTCTAATAGGAACTTAAAATTTGGGTTAGATAAGTAACCTTGCTTTTTGGCCCCCATGAATTTTAAAAAGATAAGTTAAATTTAGCATTTTTGTTTGTATTTGCAAGAATATCTCAAGTTCATTTAAATAGAGTTTCACTGATGTTAGGTTGCACTATGACATAGGAAGTTTGTATTAATGTATTAATTTGGGAACATTTCATTTTGGATTCTAAGTGCTTTCATATTGTAACTAGAGTGTTGCGCTGGTGAATTTTATTGCGAGCAAGAAACAAATTGACAATTAAAATCTTTGCTTTTGGTTTTAATGCATTCTTTATTTCTTATTGTTTTCTTTCCATTTGTTTACTGGATGGAAAGTTACTTTTATCTCCCTTTTGAATTATCCTGTTGATTTTTGTGATCCTCTCCCTTGCTATATTTAAAGTATTTCGTTGATGTTTTTGTTTCGCTCTATCCCTTGCTGTAAAAGGCTGTTTCATGTGCCTTTCCCTCGTTCTTGTTACACTGTTGAATTATAAATGCTTGCAAATTTAGTAACTTAAACATCCTGCAATTCGATGTAGCATGCTGATGTCATGTTTGGAAATCTTAACTTTTTTGTATTTTAGATGCATAATTTCACCATGCTGTAGCATTAAAGAAACTTATCTTTGACTAATAAGCTCCATCAATTTTGATGACATGATTCACACTAGCATACAAGGACTTCCCATTGTGTTTACTATTGTCATAATAATCATAATAAATACCACAATTAAACTAGGCGTCTTGATATAGGCAGCTAGAACCCATAGATTGTTTGTAGATGTATGGTGTAAATAAGAAAATAGTTTGGGCTGTTGTGAGTGTTTGGTTTGGATTTAGGTTTTGGCTTCGCTAAGCTTTTTTTGATATACAGAGGAGTTATCTTTGTTATTTTCCTCTTTAGAGTAGCTTTGAGTTCTTATATTATTTTTTTATTATTTTGTATTTTACGGGATTAATTATAGACATTTAGATATTCTGGTTGAGTTTGTATTTTTGGTCTACTGTTTCTTTTTAGTTGATTTGGCTCGGGAAGTGCGATTGTGAAAAATTCAGCATCCCACACTAGTTCCTGTAAATAGAATCACTAAATCCTTGATAAGTAGTCATCAAGAAATCACATTTTTCAAAACTAGAATCTTTAATTCATGGTTGGAGCAATACTTAAGCTCTTGGCTGAACTTATTTAAGATGTTGAAATTCATGATGCAAATTTTAATGATTTTGTAATACTAAAACTTGTATTAGAATTTGCTCCATTAGTTAAGAAACCTTTCCTTGATGAGTCCGAAGAGTTAGAATCTTGTTCCGAGTTTGATTATGAGTTTGACTAGCAACAATTCATAATTGTTTATTGTCCTGTTCTATACATTATATATATTGCATTATTCTACTGCAAGTAATAAATATTCATTAGATTCACAAATGTGTTGATTTGTGGAAAAAAAATATTGATTAAGACAAATGAGAGTGTGGTTAGACATCCGCTCATTATCATTCAGTCGCTTCTTTTTCTATCTCTTTTTCTCTTTCGTTACGGACAAGTTACCTACATTATACTTTTGGGGGTTTTACATGCATACCACCTAATTCGTATATATTTGTATGTCTAACACCTAAACTTCACATTTTGCATTTATACCGCACAAATTTTTCATATCATATAAAAGATAACACCTTTTCATGCATAGGTAAAGTTTCATGTATGTAATTAAACTTTAGGCGTTATATATGTAAATACAAATGAATTGAGTGCCATGTATGTAAATCTTCATTCTTTTCTTTAGTGTTAGATATCTATTATTCAGTTATTCTACTTGGGTATTGTTTTTCATTGCAATATTTTCGTAATTGTTTGATTTCAATTTTTGTTGGATGAATATATTAGATAGGTGGTGAAGTGCCAAAATAATCCCCTGAATATATACATCAGGCTATTTTAGTCCCAGAATTTATAAAAATGTTAGATTAGTTTCTAAACTTTTTTAATGGGGGTCAATACTGGAGACTATTTTAGCCCATATTAATAGATTATTGGGACTAAATTGACATTTTTCTTATTAGTTATGTATTCCCCTTGACATATTGACTACGTAATGGGCTAAAATTTCTCATTTTAAGTATTTCCTTGCAGATGCTGTTCAATGCTGATTCAGTAAATTTATCTTACAATTTTGTGAACAAGAACAAAAGCCAGCACATGTTATCTTTTGATAATAACAGACCACAGAAACACCTCTGCTATGGAATAAAATCAGAAACACCTTCAGCAACCATGAATCAGGATGCCGATCTTTTTCTTCTTAATGCTGTCAGGATGAGCTTCCTCGAGCGCCTCGCCCTCGCATGGAAGATTTTATTCCCCACAACTACTGATCGGAGAAATTCAAATGCCAAAATTGCAAAACAGAGACTCAAGATGATTCTCTTTGCAGACAGATGTGCGGTTAGCGAGGAAGCAAAGCAGAAGATCGTGAGCAGTATTATTAAAGCTTTGTCGGATTTTGTGGAGATCGAGTCGCAGGATAAAGTTCAGCTCAGCGTTTCAACGGATATAGATCTCGGCACAATGTATTCTGTCACGGTGCCAGTGAGGCGTGTGAAACCAGGTTACCAACAGTCGGATGAAGAGTACTCGGGAATAACCGGGATAGAGTTCAAGGATAAAGGTGAAACATCTGGATGTGTTGATGTCAAGTTCGATTTTTATGTTCCTGGCAACAAAATGCGGCGAGTCCCGTAATAGGTTTTTTCAAATTTTAATTTGGGGCATATTTATATACGTAGCACACAATTCTTATGCATTTACATGTCTCGCACCCAAAATTTCATATTTACGCACGTCACTCAAATCTTTAATAACATGACAAAAATAGCATTATTATCACTTTTTGAAAGTGAAATGCACATTTTCATGTGTAGGTATAAAGCACCTTAATGTGATGTAAATATGAAAGTTTAGTTGTGAGATGCGTAAATACATAAGAATTGTGTGCTACGCTAAATTTACCTTTTTTTTCTATGATTCAAGCATTCTGAAACATTTTGGAACTGCTAGGTGTATATATGATTCAGAAACTTTGAGCAAATTATGCAGTGATAACTGTAATGATCTGAAAACTAGCTTTTGGTAAGCATATTATCCACATCATGAATCTTCTCATGTGGAATTGAGTGGCTTTTCCAGTTGATAATTTGATTTTTTTGAACATATTTGCCTTACTAATGATGTTTTTTTTAGTAAGATTTACATATGTAACATTTAATCTTCAATTTTTACATACATTCCACTTTACTTTGATATGATATGAAAGATTTTGGGTGGCGAAATTGTTAAAAGTAAAATTTTAGTATTAGATACATGAACAAATAGGAATTTTGTGGTAATAACTACTATTGTCATCATCATTAGTTTTATCTTAATTATTTGGAGTTATTGTTATGAACACATTCTTTATATGTTGATGTTGGGTGCAGTTGAGTGGTATCATGCGTATTATTTGTTCATCATGCACATATATCCAAGCGGTACATCACGCATCAACTCTTCATTCCATCTACATGTGCAGATTTAATTCTATATACAAATATGCCAGTACTGACCCTCCCAAATAATATAGTCCAAATTTATGAATATCTGATCCAGATATACTTGGTAGTAGAAAACTGACTAATATGTATAAAATGTAACGCCTAATATGACTTTAAAAATCTATGATTGTAAAGTCTCATATAACTCAATATAAAATTGTCATTGGAACCAAAGAAGTGATATATCCTCCATCAAAATATAGTAATAAATGTGATAAACCTGTATTCGTATTGTAAAATGAAGCATAATCTTGCAGTTGGATTTTACTTGCACTAGTAAAATAAATTTCAGTGAAAATATGTACAAGTTTAAGCACAATTAATAATCATTAATGTCTCATGCAAAAAATCGTAACTATAATAATTAAGGAATGTCTTGCATTATTGGTGTGTTTTAATATTTAATCTTGAATTACAACCGAGCTACAGCATGACCAGCTTCAGTCGGCCCGACTAGCTCTATTTGGCCAGATCAGCACCCGTTCGACCAGACCAATTTCGTTCGGTCAGGTCAACTCTGTTCAACCAACTAGGACCCATTTGACACATCCAGCTCCAGTCGGCTCAGCTAGGTCAGCTTGAGCCGGCTCAACCAACCTTGTTCGGCCCTACCAATTTTCAATTGGCCCCACCAGTTTCCTCTCAACCAAACTAAGTTCTAATCAACTTGGTTATGTTCCGCTCGGCCATGCTAGGTTTTAGTTGGTCGGGTTGGGTTCAACGTAACCCGGGTTGGGTTCCACTCAGCTCCGACCAGGTTCCAAGCGGCCTGACCATGTTTCAATCGACACAACCAATCTCCGTTCGACCCGGCCAGCTTCCACTCGGCCCCTAACAGGCTCCACTCAGCCCCAACCAGCTTTCACTCTGTCAGGGCAGTTTCAATCGATCCGACCAAGTTTCATTCAGTCAGGCAAGCTCCAAGTTAGCCCAACCAACCAAGCCAAAAGCAATCGAACGACAAACTCATACAAGTAAAATATAAAATGTATCCTAGTACGAATCCCTTTATAGCAAGGGCTAAAATATAATATGATCATTATGCAACCTCTTTATAAAGAGGAGAAGCATTTTATGAACAAAATATGCTTTAGCAGACATATTAGTGTTTATTATTATTCATCTCTCTATCTCTCTCTCTCACTCACATTAAGCTCTATTTCTTATATTTGATTCACTACAAATCAGGATTAAACAGACATACCTCTTAATTCTTAGGTATTTACATATCTAACAGCTTAACTTTAGTTTTTACATACATGCAATTTTACCCAAGCGTGTATCACTTGTTAAAAATTAAAATAATAGTCTCTGATGCAATGTGAGAATTTGTTGGTATATGTATAAAAAATAATGTTTTGGTATTACATATGTAAATACATAGGATTGGGTGGGCATGTCTGTAAATGCCCGTTTTTTTTAATATTATATATATATAACTTCCGAACTTGAACAGTTTATTTAATTTTATTTTAAACTCAACAAAAAAAATCAACAAAACTTAGGAAAACAGTATTATTAAAATGGAAGATTTACATGCATATCAGGTAATTCCTATGTATTTACATATCTAACTTCTGAACTTCAATTATATATATATATTGAACGTCAAATTTTAATATTTGCTTATATAACATTTTAGTCACACCACATGAAAAGTTAAATTTCGCTTTACAAAAAACTTATGTTAGTTGCGTACGGAAATCATACGTAGAGTTGGGTATATTTTAGGTTAGTATAACTAGATTACACTTAAAGTTATACCCCTTTGTAATTCTTCATGTAACCTAAGTGTAAACTAGCTGTACCCTCCAAATAACCTAAAATTTACCCAACTTTGCATACAAATATTTCTCCATTGTTACAGGAGTATGCATAAAAGCGTCGGTTAAATATATAAATAAATAAATAATTTGTGCTCCTCCCACTTAAATAAAGCTAAAGAACAACAATGTCCTGCAATAAGACTCCGGATCACACAAATAAAATTGTACTTTTAAGACATCTACATAAATACCACCCAACTCTTATATATATATATATATATATATATATATACCACCAAAATCTGTCATAAAACATAAAAAAATATCATAATTTTAACTTTTAAAAGGTGAAATACACCTATTCATACACAGGTAAAATTGGAATTTTAATGTTAGATATGCAAATACATATGAATTGAACAGCATGCATGCAAATGTTGATAATTTTGTAACAAAATAGTGAACAAAATAAACGGAGACACAGAAGGTGTGTGTTCATTTAACCTTCAAGCATGGCCTTAGCTGCATCAATAAGAGAATTTCTGAATCCACCTGTCGCTCTGCCGAGCACAGTATATCCTTCCTCGTCTTCGACGTCCATGTCGGCCCCATGCCTGAGCAGGAGGAGAGCAACCTGCAGGAGTAAAGAAATACATAGCGGTTATATCATTCATTTTTTTCTTTATTTTATAAATCTAAAATCATGCTTAATAAAATTGTTTAGTTATGGGTGGCATGATAAACTCTTTGAGAAATTAATGAAATTGCAAAAATATGGATGGGAGTCTTGATGTGTATTTTGAGATTTGAGTGGTTTTATTATAAATATATGTAGTTGATGTTGGGATGGAAATATATGTTTTGAGCTTCCATCAATTAGAAATCAAAGCCAAATTAGATTTGAGAAATTTGAGAAGCACAACAAGAACAATCCCATAAAAAACACTCAATATTTACATGAAAAAATTCGAGAACGGGAAAAAAAACCAGAGCCAAACCACTAAAAAATTTCACTACGAAGAACCAAAAATATACATAAATACTCCCTCAGATCTTCTCTACAATCAATAGAACTTGCAGAAATTCGCTCCAAATCTTCCTTTTTATATCAGAAAGAGAAAGCCCTCGCTTCGAAACCCTCTTCTCGACCCTTTTCTACTTCATGAGAACCTTGTCAAAAGTATCGCAGGCATCGCTCAAAATCGCAAACTGAAGGAACAGAAGAGATCGAATCGTCTGGTGGCGTGGTCACGCCGAGTAGTGGTGTAAATATTTCGCTCGCTCGGGAAAATCACTAAAACAACGATCCTCTGCGGCGCTGGTGCTTGCAGCTATGGGCTCCTGTGTGCTTCTTTAGGCTTCATTCCTAAACAACCTGCCACTTGGAGACCGATCACACCCAACAAATATCCTCCAGATCTGCATCTCCATACGTAAGATCTTCCTAAGCACGTATTGTGGTGTGGTTCACCCTCAATCTCAACCTTAATGAACTCCAACAGAAGTCAAGCATAGGTCCAACTTCTTCATGGTCACCACCTTTATTAACATGTCTAGGGTTGTGTGCATCTTCTCCAAGAACAATTGTCTATCTTATAGGATATGGCATATAAAGTGATACATCAACTGAATGTGATTTGCCCTAGAATGAAAATCAATGTTCTTAGCAAGAAGAATTGCACTCATAATGTTACTATGGAACTTTTCAATCCCCTACACCTTGCTCAATTCAACCATAAAACCATATAACAAAATTATCTCCTTATTAACCTCAGTGATGGAAGTGTATTTGACCTCCATAGTTGAAAGTACAACAATCTTCTGCAGCCTGAAAACCCAACTCGCCGATGTGTTCCCCAAAGTAAAGATATATCATATTGTATTCCTACTATACAAATCTCTTGATACATCTAAATCTAAAAATCCTTGTAGACTAATCCCTACACTTCCATAACAAAATATCACATTGATTTTTACCCTCAAATGCTTGAAAATCAACTTCATTATCTCTTAATGATGTCTTTCTGGATTGCTCACATACATGCTGACCACACCCACTGCATATATAATATTTGGTCTTGTGAAAATCATGACATATATCAAACTTCTAACTGCTGAAGCGTACATTCTCCCCATCTATGCTTGTTCTACATCAAACTTAGGCGATAATTTCTTAGATAGCTTAAGATAATTACCTGAATGGCTAAAAATTGATTTTAGCTCGCCCATGTTGAACTTATGTAAGATCTTCTCAATATATTCTGTCTGAGACAACTTCAGTGTATCTACACTCATATCCCTATTGATTCTCATCTCGAGTATTTCTTGATTGGATATAAATCTTTCATCTCAAACACACTAGATAATTGCTCATATAAATCTCTCATTTTCCCAATATATGTCCTTGCAATCAACATGTAACATAAAAAATTAGCAAGATATGATGATAATCAAAGTGTTTGATGAAGCAACAATGATCTATTTGACACTTCATGTACCCACTGTCTAATAAGGATCTGTGATGTATATCAAATATGCATGTTAATTTTAGGATGTTTTTATCTTTATTTATGTTTTTTTATGTTTTTCATGATATTTAGAATTTTATATGTAGTGTACATATGAGTATACAATTTGAAAAGCAAATGAGTTGAGACGAACTCAAAACAAGTAGACCTAAGTTGAACTGGGCTGCCCGGGAGCCCACTTGTCAAACCTAGGAGCGCCTTTGCTAATCATGATGCCTAGGCGTTAACCTTGGGCCCCTAGACGCTAGGGGACAACTAAATAGAGACCTAGCACCAATTATGGGCGCTCAGGTTCCAGAAACAAGCGCCTAGGATCCCAGGTGCCAAGTGCCTCAAAAATTCATCCCAAGAAGGTGAAAAGTAGGCGTCACGACTGCAGAGCCTAAGTGCTAGTTCGCGCGTTTTGGTGGTTTGGGCAGTTCTGGGGCGCTAATTTGTGACTGATGCTATATATTATCATTTGTCCGAAGTCGGGGGAGCATCCAAGCATATTTAGAGGGACTCAGAGCATATGGAGAACCGAAAGTGGAGAAAACTTGAAGCAAGATTCCAAGTGCAAGTGAGTGAGGAGAGATTGAGAGTGATTTAATGTGTGATATCTTGTTGTAACTCAAGAATTTTCATAGGATGAAGGAAGGAGATAAGTTGTATTTGTTTCCAATGATTTTTGGTTTTTATCCATGAATTTCTTGTGTATGTTATTCCTTTCTATTAGTATGATGATGTTGTTGTTTGTGAGTATGAATTGTGAGTAATTTTCTTCTTTCTCCCTTGGATTAGCAGCTATGTATGAATGATTAGTGTAAATTTTGGTGTGATTCATGCAATTTCTCATATAGTGATATTTTAACCTTTAGAGCTTGATTTCTATTTGACTCGACCAGTTAAAATATTAAAGATCATCATGAACTTTGAGATTCAAAAGCTTTCTTAGTAGAATAATTAAGTTAACCAAACAGATATAAAGGAATAGGAATATTACCTCTAAATTTGTACAAATTTGTAGGAAGAAGCTTAATCTTGGGCAGTTCACATGATTTAGAGAAGTAAACTAGTGCACTTGTCAATATTTCTTAGACGCAAGGGCAGGGATAAGGCAGAGTGTGCTCTTGCTTGAAATTTAGATTTGAATCACAAATTTAATCCCTGAATTATGCAAGACCAATTAAAGGGAGAATTACTCTCTCTATTCAAACCCTGACCTTGTTAGCCTACAATCGTTGTATTTCAAAGATTAGGATTAGTCACTTAAATAAAATACCAAAACTTCGAATAATCAAGCTAAGTTCAAAACCAAGAGGTTAGAAGTTTTTCAGCTTTAAAATTTAGCTTGTTCCATGAGAGATCGATACACAGATTTTGTTCTGTATACTATTTGTATGACACTTATGCTTGCGTGATTCACCATTGCTTCGCAGCATTTGGTTTGTATCAACTTGTCAAATATTATGTACCAACGTCTCGGGGCCTGGTTTAAGCTATAGAGACACTTCTTAAACCAACATACCAAACCTTCTTCTCCTTGAACCTTGCAACTCTGCGGTTGCACCATATATAATTCCTCCAAACCTCATGTAAGAAAAGCTATTTTTACATCAATCCGCTACAGATGTGGATCTTCCTCTGCTAACAAACTCAACACAACTCTGATAGTTGTCATCTTTACCACCCAACAAAAGAATCTCCATGTAATCCACTTTTTCCTTCTGTTGGAACCCTTTACAACACAAGTCTGGCCTTGTAGTACCTGCTACCATTTAAATCATCTTTCTAACATGACCCGACTCGATAGCTTAAAATTATCAAGGCAAGAACGATCGGTTTGATGGAGAAAAACTTTTCAACTTTTTCATTTCACAACAAAATGAAATCCAAAACACAAAAGAATCATTCTCTTTCAGAAAACTTACATTTATAACAATTCATTCATATTTAAACTTTTAAATTTAACATAAAATAAAACAAAACTATAATACTTGTCAGTCCGCGCTCCTTAGCACATGCACATGTATTTTCTAAAATTCAGCTAGTCTAAAGCTAGTTTTTCTGTAAAAATGTTAACAATTAAATGGTTGAGAAAACTACTCAGTGGACAAATATTTTTAAATTACAATAATTCTTATTTTTAAAATATTTTATAAAATTGCAGTGGATAGTAAAAGACTGCACAAAAAAAGAACAACAATGAAAATAATTTTCTATTTACTTTCATTTATTTTTATTAACCTTGTCATTATTGAGAGCCACATTTGAATGTATATTTTTAAAAATATATATATTTAACATTTTCCCGCCTATCACAAAGGTAGGTAATCATTTCTATTTCGATTTCCTTTTTTGTGCAGAGGTACATTGCATTCATCTGTCAGTATCATCCAATAGTGTCTCCCGTATGCATGTATATATCATATTTTATTTATTTTCTTATATCTAACATTTAAAATAAAAACATAAACATTTGGACTTTAAAAGAAATGATGAAAAAAAAATAAAAATATAAGTAAATAAACATAACAATTGTAAAATAAAAATATATTTACTCGACTATACAGCATGTAATATGAAGTTTGTTATTATTTTTCTTAGGCGAAACTAATCTTTTGAGTGCACCTATAGAAACAATTTAAATTTGATCAGTTTCTATTATTTATCATTTCATATGTAAATATATATTTACTTCTCTTATGGTCTTAATTTAAGTTTGCCAACTCTCCTAAATATTAAATTATTTCATAAATTAGTATAATAACAAAATGATGTTTCAGACACATTTAATTTGGAAATAACTTCATTACAATTTTCATTTCAGGTTTATTAAATTTTAATATAACTTAACATAAATTAGTTAAAAAAATATAGATTAAATATTAAAATGGGTCGTCATACTTAAAATTTTTCTACTCTACAAAATAAAATCTTATTGCTTTCGTCTCCTCATCAAAATTCTAAAACATAATTTTACAAAATTTTGAAATTTAATCTCAAGTTAATAAATCTTCTTCTTTAATATTTCATAACTTATTAAACATAAAAAAGATATAACTTTCGATTTCGAAGCTATTACCAAAATGACTCATAATCCACATTGATTCCTCATTCACTTGTTCTATTTCTACGAAAGAGAATTTAGAGGTTCGATCGCGCCTTCACACACGCAGGAAAAATGCTTCCTTGGGTTGCCATTCACTTGTTCTATTCCTACGAAAGAGAATTTAGAGGTTCGATCGCGCCTTCACGCACGCAGGAAAAATGCTTCCTTGGGTTGCACCTTGCTACCAAATCTCATATAAGCCCGATTGAATGCTCCACACACGAGGAAATGGCTCTTGCAAGCCGCTCATTCCTACCTCATCCTTTTGATCGGTTATGGCACCAAATCCTTTATTGGAGCTCATGAGACTAGTGGTTTCATCTCACTTCCCTTCTAGACTCAAACGACTGATGGATTGTCGACGACACAAAAGGAAGGCTCGGGTGAGCTGCTCGAGCCCTCTAGGTGCTCAATAAAGCGTCTCTTGAACACGGAAAAAGTTTTTTGCGAGCCGTTTGATCATTTCTTCTCCTTTCGCTCAGTCCGTTCACTCAAAGTTGTGAAGGTTTGGTCGAATGTTCCTACGGCTCAATGGTAACCTCCACCCCTTATCTTCTTCTTCTTCTTCTTCTTGTTTTTCTTCTTCCTCCTCTTCAACTAGGGAGGGCCATAGACATAGCGGAAAATATTTTTGAAAAAATTCTTGTCAACGGGAGAATTTGGCTATAAAAAGATGTCATAGGCAACTTTGAAGAGGGAGGAGCCATTGAAGACGGCTAGAGATAGAGTTTAGAAGGATTGGAGAGCTTATCCTTTATGATTTCTTTCTTGCTTCAGGTTGAAGTCCTACGGGCATTTTCTTTTCCTTCACTCTTGTGTTTTTCTTATTGATTTTGAGAGAAGATCGTATGAATGAAAGATCTGCTGCTATGAAAGAGAGAACAAATTATTTTATAAGTTTTTACTCTCTAGTTTACTTGCAACAATGGTTTTTAATGAATTTGATTTCTATCTTTCTTTGTATCATGAGTGGCTAAGCTCTTTTTCACGTCTCTATGATGAAAGAATCGTGGTTTTGTGATTTTCTCATATTATTTTCCCCAATACGTTTTCTTGAGCTTTCATATCTATGTTGTTGTCCGACCAATTAGGGTGTTGACATTTTCTGTGATCTACGACTTTTGTACGTTGCGTAGAGGAACGAAATGGTTAACCACAAAATCTGGGTAAGAATAGACATATTCTATCAGAATTTTGTAACCTAGAAGGGGGATAAGAATAATCCTGCAGAATCATGGGGATTAAGGACATGTTCATGCGTTCTAGTTTTCTTTTAACCTGGGCATAGGCATAAGGAAAACTTTTTATCCATGTTAACAAATATCACGCAGGGGAAAGTTTAGGTATACCGCAAACCACCATGATTCCTAAATCACAGAGGCGCGGGTCTCATCTCTTGTGAAGAATCATAAGTTTTTATCCGTTTACTGCTTTCCTTTGCTTTTCAAACTTATTAATTTTGTTTCTGTTTTTAAGTAAGATTTTAGAAACTTCATCTTTTATTTATGATCACACTGATCTAGGTTTAGACGTTTAGTAAACTGGAGATTCGCTCTTCAAATATTTCTTAGTCATTTCCTCGTATGATTAATACACGGTACTCTTTAACCACGTTATTACTTGACACATATATTCGTGTGATTGATCGACTTACTTCGTGTTAGGTCTTCGGCCATTAGTAACAACTGTCTGAATTTGTATCTAAAGTTGGGCAGATAACAACAACAACAATGACGACAAGCCTTTATCCCACTAAGTGAAGTCGATTGCATGAATCATTTTTCTCCTTTGTTTCCTATTGAGTGTCATATTTTCATTTAATTCTAATAAATTAATATCATTTTTTATAAAGCATGCCCAAGTCTTTTAATATCAAAAACGAGAAAACATACAAAATGCCTAGGACTTTCTACATTAATAATCTCATTAATAAAATAAGCATAATCCATGAAAAAAAAGCCATTTAAAGGCTTTTTTGATTATTTGATTTTAGAAAAGATATTTTACAAAACGGTGCATTAGCAAGATTCTATTATTTGGTTGGACAAATGTAGAATGAACCAGGGACCTAAACTCTACAAAGGCCTTCTAAATCCCTCAAAAGGTGATAATTTATTTTCGCTGAAAATGAAGGCAAAAAAATATTAAATTTTTAAACATGTTTTCTAACTATAAGCGGCCAAATAAATCATAATTGTGCGAGTAAATTCAGATTTTTTTTTGTTACAAAAGGAACCCGAAGAAGATCAGGCATAAACATAAGCACCCAAGATTTATTTAAGATTTTTTGCCCATTCTTTAGAAAGATCCACTTGGAAGTTAATCCTCATATATCCTCTGTTTTTCGCAGTTATAATCCAACCTACAAAATAATTGTAAACAAAAACCCTCAAGGGTTGATTATTTTCCAAGCACTATTCCATATATGTATGCATTAAAAAATTTAAATCCCGTCAATCAAATTCATTTCGTAAGTATAAAACAAACAAGAATAGAAATCAAAATTTAAAACAATTACACTTTTTGCCTCCACATCTAACTAAAAAAAGGGTTAAACAATCCTTTACCTCTTTGTTGCAACACATCACTGCCTGCATAAGAGTTGTTTGGCCTGTTCTATCAACGGCGTCAATCTCCGCTCCTTCCTCAATCAATAGCTCACAAAGTTCCAAGCGGCCCGTACTTGCAGCCCGATGAAGAGGGGTGCAACCAACCTAAATAAACCATATTTGAGAGCTTCGATGGCATAGTTTACATGTAACAAATTTACAAGATTTTTCAAAGTTAATGAAAGACATGTAAGAAATTGCATGAATGTTTCACACCTTGTCCTTTTTATTAACATTTGCACCATGAGAAATCAGAGCTTCAGCTATCTTGAGCCAGCCCTTACTAGCAGCATAATGAAGGGCGGTCCGTCCGCCATCGTTGGTCAAATTAACATTGGTTCCTGTTTTCATATAGGTGAAATCAATAGTAAGTGATCGAAGCGCAGTTCGAATGATGTGATATTGAAAAAAAAATGCAGCAGATGAATGGTGGATGAACTAAATAAAAAAAGAGAGCTCTTTAGCGAAAGAGAATCACCGTGGTGTTCGCAAGACCAGCCATTAACCCCCAAAAATAACAGTGATTCTCTAATCATTGAAAATTAAACGGTGAACACTGAATTGCTAGCGTGTGTACAAACGAAGAGCTAATGGTATACACACAAAATACATGATGCATTGCAAGGGGTGAAATTTAGGTATGCAAATGAACTCGGCATTTAACAAACTACTCATAGCACGGCTCGATTAAAGCTCGTTCATGATCATTTTATAATTAACCAAATGAACTTGTGGGTAAAAATGAAGAGCTGATGCTGAAAACACACAAAATACATGAGAAATTGCTAGGGGTGCAATTTAAGGAACTCAATATTTAACAAATTACCCGCGTCTCGACTTGATTAAAGCTCGCTCACGATCGTTTTATTAATTAACCAAATGAGCTTAAACACTTTAGAGATACTCAATTACTAAATAAACAAGCTTGAAAAACTAGTTGTTTGATTTGTTTATGTTAGTGAATAGAATCATTTAAAGTACGTGGACAAGCTCGTGAACCAAATTGATTAAGGCTTGAACGACTCAATTATAGCTCATTCATGAATGATATCATTTAAATGTTTATTTTTAAACTCAAAGAGCATTATTAGATATAACTCATTTATTTTTCCCAACAAGTTTTTCATGTAAAGCTCTTTTGTGGCTCATTTATTTTGTTGAAAGAGCTGCTCATTCATAAGGTTGATAAGACCATGTGTAGACTGAACTCAAATCGAGCTTGACCTGAGCTCGAACAAGATATCCATAAACGAGCTCAATATTGAATAGAGTCTTAATAGTCTTAAATGCACTTAAGAAATGAGGTTGAGCTGGCATATGTTCTACTCGGCTTGACTCAACCGCAAAGCTAGTGAAATTGGATCCTTGAATTCCAACATGAAAGGGATATAATGTAAAACCCCTCATTGCATCCACTTTATATTATTTTGCAATGATAGAAGCATGGAAGCTTGAACACGCCCATCATAATCAAGGATAGCATGTCTTAAAAGTTTTAGCATACCTTTGATGTGATTTTCTAAAGAGAATAATAAGTTGAATTTTTCATTTTTTATTTTAAATGCTAATTAGGTGTGTGAAATGAAAAGCTAATGAATGCAATTAAAAGGACATTCAAATGCAATATTATATGTGAAAATTGTATTGGTATGTGTATTGGACTAGTTATCATTGTATATATTCCTATAAGCCATGTATCTATGAGAAGCTCGATGATTGTTGCATAACAATTTGCTATATTTCACAGAGTTTGCTTCTTCCAATTGAGAAATATATAACAAAAAATAGGAAAAATTCAAGCTTAGAACTCATTGTTCTACAAGTTCTTCTTTGTTCTTGAGATATTTTGAATCTTAGGCCCCGTTTGGGACAGCTTAAAACTGTGACGGCGTTTTTGAAAACGCCGCCTTAATGTTTGGTAAACATGTTTTAGGTGATTTTAAAACCCTCGTTTCGCTGTTTAGTGTAAACAGTAGACGCGGGCCTATAGCCGCGGATCGCGTTTTTCCCAGACCATTTTCCTCTGTTGCCCTCGCGCTGCTCTCGGCCCTGTTCTTCACTCTCGCGCGATCGTGCCCTAGCTACCCGAGAAGAATTGGAGAGTGGTAAAGAAAATTGTGCATCCATCTCCTTCCTCTTCTCTTCTTTGCGTTTTCGGTCAATCGTGCTTGTTCTTCTTCGAATTGTTTTCGGTTGCCTGTTGACCTCAATTTTTCGTGAGGTCTAGTATTCCTCGTAGGAGTTAGGATCTAGCCTTAGGGGCTTTCCTGCGACTATCTTAGAACCTTAGAAGTGGGACCCGTCTCGTTTTAGTTCGACCCGCTTCCGTCCCTTTCTGGAGTTTCGCGTGTGTGGTATCAACTTCTAGCACTTAGAAGGACGAAACCAACATGAGGAACCCCAAAAGGGATTCCCTGTAGGTACTTTCTGAGCCTTAGTGCACAATTAGCACTCCTGCGCGCACCGGCTTCGCAATTCGGAGAGTCGACGTAGCCGATCGCCGCAATTTACATTGCCTCCGCTGTTACTTGTCGAATGCTCGAGTAAACCTTTTGATACGATCGATCGCGGGTCAATATTTTATGAAATTTGAATTTCGACGGGTTTTGACCCGATTGTCGACGACGTCGTCCGAGCGACCCCGGATGACGAAACGGACTGCGCCAACGCGTCCGGAACGTCGATTTTGCCCGGGGAGGACACTCATTTTGTCGCGTCGTCGCGCGCGAATAAATCGTTTAATTAATATCTATATATATATATATATACACTTAATATATATATTTATATATATATTAGTTAACGTTTACGTTTCTT